TATACTTTATTTCCAAGAATTAGGGGAAAAAAGTGGATTTGGAATCAGGAAACCAGGATTTCATTTCTAGCTGTCCTTTGGGTCCTGTGAATTCTTTGCAACAGTAAAAGTATGAAGGAGAGACAAGGTTTATTTCTTCTGTTTTTTCCCCCTTGGAGTTGGTTAAATGTGTTACATGATATGCACACATCTGCACTTCAGTTTAGTGGTCCCAACCAGAGGAATAAAGGGAAAATGTAGAGTGTTTCAGGTAATACGTAAGCACAAACCTAACATTCTCAACCAGTTTTATTGTGAGCAAATTTATGAAATATCCTTTATTTTTATGTTCTTTCTAAAAGCTAATAGCATATTATGCTTTTGTTTGTTAACTAAACGTGGTTCATGGAATGATTTGGGTTTGTCAGTGATCACAAATATGGCTCAGCCTAGTAGCTAACTAATGCTTTTAAATGTAATGAGAAAATATATGAATTTTCATTTTTTCCTCTGTTGTAAATATCAGATCAACAGGTTTTGTCTGTAGATGTGGTAGATAATTGTGCAATCTTTTTTTTTTTTTTAAAGATTCTATTTATCCACTTGACAGACAGATCACAAGTAGGCAGAGAGAGAGGAAGGGAAGCAGGCTCCCCACCTAGCAGAGAGCCCGACACGGGGCCCGATCCCAGGACCCCGGGACCACGACCTGAGCTGAAGGCAGAGTCATTAACCCACTGAGCCACCCAGGCGCCCCGATAATTGTGCAATCTTGATGTGCTACTTAAAGAAGTACTTTATTCTTCAGTTTTTCTTAAGGAAAGCACTGGGTTTCATTTTTGTTTTTTAATGAGAAATACTTGGGGTGGGTATGAGTTCCTCAGGGCCGTTTTCAAGTAGCAAAAGATGGTTGTTAACCTGCCGCCTCATTGAGGCCTGCAGCAGGATGAGCCATTTACACACACACCCCTTTGGAGAGAGGAGTAGAGCGGAGTTGACCCCTTCCAATTAGGCTGGAGGAGCCAGGCAGGGTGCGGTGCCCAGTGAGGGGGCGGGGGAGGGGGGGCTGTGTTCTCTGCCCTGGCAGGCTGTCGAAGGGTGCTCTGGAAAGCTGAACTGGCAAATAGTGACCTGGAATATGTGTGTTTGGGGTGTAGGACTTAAGTACCCTTTACTCTCTCCCTAAGAAAATCTTTGGTAAAAACTTGTTCACTTGTCTTTTATTTATTTATTGATTTATTTATTAAAAGATTTTATTTATTTATTTGACAGAGATCACAAGTAGGCAGAGAGGCAGGCAGAGAGAGAGAGGAGGAAGCAGGCTCCCTGCTCAGCAGAGAGCCCAATGCGGGGCTCGATCCCAGGACCTTGAGATCATGACCTGAGCTGAAGGCAGAGGCTTTAACCCACTGAGCCACCCTCACTTGTCTTTTATACAAAAAGAATCTTGGAACCCACGGAGATGCTGGCTCTTTTCTAGTGTCCCTGAGAACACACCCAGGTCTGACATCTGGGGGCACACAGATCCTGCAGGCTGCTAGGCCAGCTGTCCTCAAGGACTACTTACTGCTCGCTGGGTGCCGGGAACTGGCATGTACATTTTTCAGCGCTCTGTCACACATACAAATTCTCTTTATTCTTTCAGTAGCTCTAGGAGAACCAGCTTCCTTGAAGGAATGTGGAAAAGGGGCTTCAGCGTTCAGCCCCTTACTCCGGCATCTGGCTTAGGAGTCTCAAGTCCGACTTCTGCAGGTTTTATCACATTCCACATAACTTGTTTTCAGTTGCTAAATTGTGCAGTTTTATTCCTCACAAAGCCTGTTCTCTGAGGATTTTTAAAAATCAGTTTAGGAGGGGGGCACCTGGGTGGCTCAGTGGGTTGAAGCCTCTGCCTTCGGCTCGGATCATGGTCTCAGGGTCCTGGGATCGAGCCCCATATCGGGCCCTCTGCTCAATGGGGAGCCTGCTTCCCCCTCTCTCTGTGCCTGCCTCTCTGCCTACTTGTGATCTCTCTCTCTGTCAAATAAATAAATAAAATCTTTTAAAAAAATCAATTTAGGAGGATAAAAAATAGAAGCTCCAGAATTCTGAGTATTGGAGGTTTTGGTTTTAAACTCTGCAAGAGGTGAAGGAAGTAATGACATGTTTGTGTATTCATCTCAGTTCGGGAGCTTGTTTCTCCACTCCTGGCATCAGTGGCTACCGATACGTGAGGGTACCTCCTCTTCTGGAAACCTTGAGCTACTTGACCGCGTCCTGACCTGAAATAAAGTCTGGATATTTATCTGTGCTCCTCTTGTCATTAATAGTACTGCCACGTTAGCATTGTATTTCTTGTGTTAGAATGAGTTGATTTTAGGGGCGTCTGGGTTGCTTGGTGGGTTAAGCCTTTGCCTTCGGCTCAGGTCATGATCCCAGGGTCCTGGGATCAAGCCCCGCATTGGGCTTTCTGCTGAGCAGGGAGACTGCTTCCCCCCTCTCTCTGCCTGCCTCTCTGCCTACTTGTGATCTGTCAAATAAACAAATAAATAAATCTTAAACAACAAAAAAAGAATGAGTTGATATTATTTTCTTTAAGTTTTTTTATTAACAGCTTTATTGAGACAATTCACACCTCATATAGTTCACCCTTTTAAAATCTACGATTCAATAATTTTTGGTAATTTTAGATTTACACAGCCATTACCCTAATCAGTTTTAGAACATTTTCATTCCCTCCAAAAACAGACCCTCTGCTCATTGACAGTCACTCCCCACTTACCCTCTTCCCCTCCCGCAGCCCCAGGCAACCAGGAATCTTTCTGTCTTTGTAGATTTGCATGTTCTGAGCATTTCATTTAAATGAAGTCATACTGTTGTTCTGCAGTCTTCTGTGATGGAGTTTTCACCTCGCAAGATGTTTTCCTGGCTCATCTGTGTGGTAGCATGACATTTCAGTACTTCATTTCTTCTCTCGGCTAAGTAATACTCTTGTGTGTTTATACCTCATTTTATTTATCCTTTCATCAGCTGATGGGCATTTGGGTGCTTTCCACTTTTCGGCTGTTAGTAGATAGTGCTGCTCTGAACGTTTGCAGACATATTTCTGTGTGAACATATGTGTTTAGTTCTCTTGAGTATGTATCTAGCAGTGGAATGGCTGCATCCTAAGTGACTAAATTTTGAACTGCCACACTGCTTTCCAAAACAGCTGCACCACTGGATATCCCACAAGCAGTGTGTGAGAGCCCTACTCTCTCTGCCTCCTTGCTAATAACGTCTGTTCTGGGTCTTGTCTTCTTGGTTCGAGCCCTCCCAGTGCCTGTGGAAGGGTCTCTTAGGGTTTTCATGGACATTTCCCTGATGGCCTCTCTTTAGTTTCTAAATTGTTTTAGGTTAGAAATAGTTGTATCTCTTTTATCTCCTGAAACATGCATAGTATTTTCCAATATTAAGTGGGCCTTAATTTTTTTTTTAACCTCTGTTGGAAGTGTGCTTTGTCCACATTACTGGAATTTTGCTCTGCTACCCTCACCGTTGTATCTTGAGGTATCACAAGTGCACATACGTTCTGTTTCTTGCCCTTACTGCTAAGCCCTACACACCAAATGCCTTGATGAATGTTAATTAAATGAATGAATGGAGTGTTATTTGTGTTCATTCTGAATTGTTGAGCTATTCCTTTGGGACAGGTGGGTGTTCTGTTTCTGCTAAATGCTAATAATTTAATGAAAGAAATAAAGATCATTAGGAGCTTCATTTTCCACTTTATCTCCAGCAAAATGAAGACTCACCACTTGAAAACTCCTAAAGTTTTAACAGCCAAAAAGTGGAAAGCACCCAAATGTCTGGTCCTGGCCTGTTGTCCACATTATTAACGTTTAAGGTTTGGGTTCCCTGTGTAGGTCTCCCTATCTCTGTTTCTTCCTCTCCTGAGGAACTCTGAAATGTCAGTTGATAAGTCAGAAGAGCTCATCACAGCACTTCCATCATCTTCTTTACAAGGCGTACTTAAAATACTTCAAAATGACAGGTTAAATAATAGGTGTGTCTAAGGTTTTAAAGAAGTTATCAAAGCTTGTCCAAATTGTAAAGGAACTCTGTTCAGCTTTAGTGCTAATTAAATAAATATGGGCTGATGCTCATACGTGTTTCTACTCTATTGTACTAGGAAAATGGAAGTGTTTTAATAATGCTGGTATACTGTTGTGTGCTAAACTAACCATGTGAGCAAAGCAGTTTTTTATTGGTGAATCTCTGTGTAGCTACAATAACAACAAAAACTTTCCCTAGTGAGTTTACTATAGAAACATTGATCCCCACTAAAATGGAAGACAGATTGTTTTGGACAGTTGCTGAAATCTGCTAAAATATGATTGTGATGAGACAGTTTAGTGTTTTTTTTAGTTATCCAGATACATGTTTTAGAATTGTGTGGCTTTGGTGCTCTGAGAGAAAAACAAAGACCAGTTGATTTCGTGAAACTACAAGTCTTGGATCTGTAGCAGAATGGCCTCTTTTGAAAATCAGAAGCATCCTCTCTTGCTCTCAGTGGTAGGGCCAGGGAGGTGGATGTCATGGTGATAAGATTTCACATACAAGTGTGAAAGCTTTTCTGGAGATCAGGTCAAAGAAAATAACGGACTCCTGAGTGAATGACTGCCCGTTACATGAACATAAGCCCGGGCATCTCAGCCCTGGCCTCTTCCATTTCTTGGCTTCTAGTGCTGCTGTTTTCGTCACTCTTAGAGCAGTTCATATCACTAGAGAAGGCATACTTTCTTTTCTCCTCAACCTGATAATACTGTTATTTTTAGTTTTTTATTCCCATGTCATTCTAATTTATATTTCTAAAGACTTGTGTAATTTTAAGTTTGAATACTGTGTAATGATACAAGTGTTATCAACAACTTAAATTCAATCTGATCTTGTACTAATGCATGATTCTAGATATATTACTGTGAGCCTTCCATGTTTAGTTCAATTAATACTGAATAATACCGTTGTATACAATCATAAATGTATACCTGTATAGCTCTTGCCATGCTTAACTTCCATAATAGTGAGGGTCAATGTTTTCTTCTGTTTCTTCTTGCTCTGGACCTTCTTGGTGATCTTCATGTTCTTCACTATCAGGATCATCCGGAAATTTCCTGAAAACCTGAGTCTTCAGTTGTATTGTTTGCCCATTAGTGCTTCTCTGCTCGCCATAATAAATAGTGTGTAAATTAGGAAAGCAGAGGGAAACATATGAGCTTATTGGCTCTTTCAGCTTATTTTGGTCCATACGGATGTACGTTAAGTGGTGGTAATACAGTGGGTCAACAGACGGACACATCACTGTAACATTGATATCTGAAAAATACAAATTAAAGATTAATCCTGCTGCATTACCTCTAGATCCTACGTTGGAATTTATTAAAATACGAGATAGTCTTATTAAAATTCTTATAGGTAGAATTAGGTTTAATTAGTTTTTACAGTAATCAAATAATAAAATGAAGAAAATGAAACTACAGATGAATTATATGTTCTCAAAGTAAATGATGGCTTTCAGAGCGCATCTGTCCTGATGAGCACTGGGTGATGGATGGAAAAGCTGAATCACTGTATTGTACATCTGGAACTAACACAGCACTGTGTGCTAACTGTACTGGAATTAAAACTTGAAAAAAAGGGTGGCTCTTTTGGCTATTTAATTATTTGTTATGTAATAAATTCATAGTATAAGTAATCTCAGAAAGAACAAAGCAAAAAACACCTTTAGTCCCAACTACTCAGGAAGCTCCTATTTTTTCAGATACTCTACAGTACTACTTGTCAGTGTTCAAAGTGATAACATTACATAGAAAAGACTATAAACTTGGGTGCCTGGGTGGCTCAGTCGGTTAAGCTCTCCTGCTCCCGATTTGTGCATTCTCTCTCTCTCTGTGTCTCTCTCTCTCAAATAGATAAATCATTAAAAGAAAATAAAATAAACTTTTATTATTTTTTTTAAAATTTCATTTATTTATGTGACAGAGAGAGATCACAAGTAGGCAGAGAGGCAGGCAGAGAGAGATGGGTAGGCAGGCTCCCTGCTGAGCAGAGAGCATGATGTGGGTCTCGATCCCACCCTGAGACCGAGAGCTGAGCTGAAGGCAGAAGCTTAACCCACTGAGCCACCCAGGCGCCCCAAGGCTATAAACTTTTATAGCACACCTTTCTGAGGCTAGCTTTGGCATTTCCCTAGCTACTTAAGTCAACTATCTTCAGCAATGTGTAAAGCATAGATGTTTTTTAAAAAAGATTTTTTCTTTAGGAGTGCCTGGGTGGCTCAGTCAGTTTAAGCTTCTGCTTTCAGCTCAGGTCATGTTCTTAGAGTCTTGGGATCAAGCCCCATGTTGGGCTCCTTGCTCAGCAGGAAGCCTGCCTCTCTCTCTTCTACTCCCTGTGCTTGTGTTCCCTCTCTCGATGTCCCTGCTTCTCTGCTATCCCTTTCTCTCAAATAAGTAAATAAAGGTCTTCAAAAAAAAAAAAAAAAAAAAAGATCAGCATAATATTCCTTTGTGTTTAAAAAAGATAATGAAATTTTACATACTTTCAATTTCATTATTTTCTAGGTATAGGTGTTGTAAACTTCTTGGAATATAGAATGCTTGCTTCAGTTTGTTGTGTCCAACATTGAGCTCTATAAGGTTGGGAAGATTAAAAATATTATGTGGGATATCTTGTAGTTTGTTGTGTGACATTCGTAGAGCCTGGAGTTTGGGAAGTTTTTTGAAGTAATTTTCTGGTATAGCAGAAATTGAATTATTTTCCAAAGACAGGTACATAAGTGAAGAAGGCAGACCAGGAGGCATTGACTCTAATCTGTTATTACATAGGTTGAGCTGCATTAATTTTTCCATTTTGGCAAGTACGTTTTCTTGTAACATGGAATCCTCGAGATGATTGTAACAGAGATCAAGCATTGTCAAGTTTACTAGCCCATCCATGGCATTTGTCTGCAATCTGGAGATCTCATTATAGCCAAGAAGAAGTCTCTCCAAAGACTTAGGGAGAGGAAATGGAAATTCTTCTAAATTGTTATGCTGTAGGTGAAGTTGTAGTAGATTTGACAACTTAGCAAACACACCATGATCAATCTTTTGAGATGTAATTTTGTTGTGGCTGAGGTTGATTTCTTTGAGATGAGTTGCGTTGATGAATGAATCCGCAGTCACAGCCTCAATTTCATTGAATTGAAGGTAGACCTGCTGTATGTGTGCTGGGACACGTGGGATAGTCTTGAGTTTGCGATTGTCACAATACATTGATGATGGAAAATTGGGTGGACAGAAGCATTCAGTGGCACAGCCTAACATATACTGATGAAAAGGAACTTGAAAGTCCTCATTTTGATGAAATTGGAATTCTGGTTGGTAGACATCATCTGGGTCTTGATCATAATCTTCATCCCATTGATAATTTTCATATTGGCAATATACTTTGACTCCAAAAAAGAAGAAAAGGACATGTGCTAGACTTAAAAAGCCCATGTTCCTTTTTTGTCCTATTATAAGGAGAAAGCAAATATATTGTGGGAAAAGTCAGTAAATCCTAGAAGAATTTTTGTGTAAATTAACAGTTACATAAAGTGCATAATATCTGTATCTGTATTGAAATATATAAAACAATCCAGAATAAATGGGCAATGCTCAAACCAAAATTAATGTTTAAGTACCAATAAGATGGTATTTTTTTTAAAAGTCACATTTTACACTGAACCAGACTACATACCCATCTTTGAAGGGAATCCTAGTTTGTCTTGCTTCCTATAGATTTACAATGATAACATGACCTCTCAACCCCAAAACTGGGTATTCCGTCCACTAAAAATGCTGAGTGTTCCACTAACTATATGGTCCCTTCAGTGATGGTCATTACCTATGAGAGGAGACGCTCTTGGTCTTAGTTAATATTAACCAATATTTTCCCACTGCAGCTTCTGTTTTTCGATGCTCTTTTCTGCCCTTGGAAGAACATGAAACATTCCTTTTTATGTAAGAGCTTGAGATTTTCAAAATAGCTCTCATCTTTCCTCTTAGTGTTTCTGGCCAAGTCTAACCATGACTTCCAGTTTTCCCCCATGAAACCGTTTCCAGAATCCAATTATTTTGTCTCTGACTCCACTTGACTCAAATCCCAAATACACGCAATATTTACCGTCTACAAACTTTGAGCTTTTAGTAGGTTATTCTATATATTTTCTTTCTTTCCACTAATTTTTTGAGTTAAGTCCTAGATAAACAGATACTGAAAGCACACTGTCTTGTCTCCCAGGAGTTGAAGTCTGGTGGAGAATCAAAAAGATGCACACAGTACAGGGAGGAGGAGGGTGTATAAGGGGTGCACTTCACGGGAGGAGTACTCAGCTTGAGAAAGACCATTAACTTGAAGTTGTAGTGGTGGTCTACTGGATGAGGAGCCTGAAGACCTTCACTTCCCATCTGTCACTTAGGGCGGTCAAGCCACTTAACATGCCTGCCTCTTGCCTCCTCATGAAAATGAGAAATGTAATTGTTTCCTAGCTTATCTCAAGTAGTGGTTATGACAGTCACATGAGATGTGCATGTAAAAGTGCTTTGCAGGTTAGAAAGTGATCCAGATGGATAAGTTTGTTATTTAGATAAAGGTTAAAAGGAAGGAAAACAAAACAAAAAAAAAAGAATCTTACCTCTTTGATTGTAGGTGTTTTTCTCTACCTCTCTCATTCAAGGTTTCCTGAGAATCAATGTAACATGTCCCTATGTGTCATGAACTGACTTTTCTCTATCCCATTAGTCATTAGAGTGGTACAAGCTATTTTTCATCATTGAGATAATTGAAAAAATAGTTATTTAAATCATTGTCTATAACAGACCCCATTTGACAAAGTCTACCTTAGACCCTAACATCTTAGATTCTTTTTTATTTTCTTGTCAGGAACTATAAATGTATGGAAAGTAATTATGTGTTAACGTGGGATTTGGAGTTGATATTTAAGTAGAGTCAGGGACCCTTGATCTTTTCTTCCCTCCTGTGCGCCCAGAGCATGGGCCTTGTCATTACCAGGGTGTAGCTCCTTCACACCCTGACTTGTCTTTATAACTTACCCCATGGTGTAGCTCCAGCTGTAGTAATTCCTCAATTTCAGTAGGACGTAAAAATGGGGAACCCACTGTGTTTTCACTGCCCTTTATTCATTTATTCATACCTCCCAATGCACTCAGTTCCTCTCTGTGGCCTGGACCCCACGGCCCATCACCGTTGTCACTTGTTTGCACAGGTCCCTGATCCTCTGACCCCTTTCATCCTCTTATTCTTCTGGTAATCTCCAACCCTGTTTCTTCAGTTGTCCATCTACATGCAGCCTGACTCATGCAGCAGAGCAAGTGGAGAGAAAACTGACCACACCAGCTGGTGTCACTTAAAATTCATGACCACTCATTGCTGCTCAGGGACATGTCCTTACTGCATTCCTTTTCCCTTGCTCCTAGACAAGCCTCTAAAAATTCCCATTTCCCACCAGTTTGGAATGACCACCTTGCTGCTGCTGCCTTTTTTTTTAAACCAAGAGGATAGGATCAAACAAAACAATGATTTAATCATATGTATGTTTTGTTATATTTAATCTCATCCCTACCTACAGAATATGTCAAAATAGCAGTGGTTTGATCTTTTAAAGCAATTGTTTTACAAATCTCAGTAGACTGCATGCACTGTTCCTTCATATCGGTGGGATTCATAGAGGATGTGACATTTGACCTAGATTTTGAAGAATGTTAGGGTTCTCATAGAGGAAGACCAGGAAGATTTCCAGACAGAAGAGATGACCAAAACATGTAAGGAACAAAGAGTAGGGTACTTGGGGAATAGTGGTTAGCTATTGAAGGAGTAAAATAAGACTGTCATAGCTAATCTGGACCAGAATCTAGAGGGCCTGAATTCTGACCTGTGGAGTCTGCACTCAGGGAATGAACACCTAATTTAATTCATTAAGGTAGTTGAGCCACAATCTTCACACTGAATTGTTGGTGGGTGAAGTAGGAGAAAGTCCTGCAGGGAGATCATCTCACCCCGAAGGGCAGTTTTCAGTTCTGGCTAACTCAGGGTGCTGGAAAGCTCCAATTGGGTCTGCTGCCTTAGTGACCGGTGCTAGAGGTTGTGTGAGAACCTGGCTAGTCAACCACCTTACAGATATTAGTAGTTAAACTTTGGTTGAGTTTAGACTGCAGTTACTTCTGAGTGTGAGGCACTGTATTTGGTGAGGAACACAGAGATGAAGATATGAAGATGTGGTCCCCTCCATAAAGAGCATACGGTTTATGGGAGAGACCCAACATGGCAAACCATATTCTCAGACAAAGGAAAATAATGTTTACCTCCTAGACCCCAGTGCCGTGGGTACAGTGGCTTAACCCTGCCTCGGGCAGACGGGGAAGTCTTTGTAGTATCATTTGCTCCAGATCTTGGGAGATTAGCAGGAATGGGTGTAGAACATCCTATATATTTTACTCACTAGTTGATAATACTTTATGTGTTAAATTTGTAGCTTTTATGGTACTTATTATAGTGGAGCATATTAACTTTTTGAAGTACCTGTCATACTTCACTTCAGTCTCATTGCACCACAGCGTTCAACTGTAAGTTTGCTGTGTCTCACAAAGGTATACGTAGAAGCAGGGCAGAGGCATGCCGCTGCAGGGGCGGGGGGAGGTAAGGCATGGAGGGGGTCTTGGAAGCTGACTGTTACACAAACTTTGAAATGAGCAAGCTCATCAGAGCTCTGAATTTCATCCTTGTATTAAGAACAGTAGCAATAGGGGTGCCTGGGTGGCTCAGTTGGTTAAGCAGCTGCCTTCGGCTCAGATCATGATTCCAGGGTCCTGGGATCGAGCCCCGTATCGGGCTCCCTGCTTAGTGGAGAGCCTGCCTCTCTCTCTCCCTCTGCCTGCCGCTCTGCTTACTTGGGCTCTCTATCTCTCTGTCAAATACATAAATAAAATCTTTGGGGGAAAAAAAAAGGAATAGTAGCAATAATCAATCACTAACCTTACATTTGAGAATGAAGGTTTTGACTCTAACAATTATGAGAAATATATTGGGAAAAAGGAGACCTGGGTGATACTTTCAATCCGGCACTTAAATGCGTCCCTTTGACTTGGGATCAAGACCTCATTATGGGAGTCTCCCTGAAAATAAAGGGATTCTTTAGTGTTGGCTGCTTTTAGTCTTCTTGGCCACCTATGAAGATAAGCTTTCCCTAAGGACAGTTTCTCTTCTGAATTGTCCTCTAAGGACCTTGGCTCTGCAGCTCAGCCTGATCCCTCTTCCTTTTGACCAAGTCCAGTTTTCTGGTTTGAAATCAACCCTGTCTCCATCCAGAGGCCCATTATTTCCTATTCATCTTAGTCTTCAACTTCCTCTCTGGTGAGTTTCCCTGTTATAATGACTTCTTATTTCTTTTTATCCAAGTTTTCCATTTAACTGATCTCTTCCTAGCCATTTGCAAAGCACATTTTTATTACTTCTGCCTTTCATGTTCTACAATTTATGCCTCATTCCCTATAGAATTGCTCATAGCAAAACAGAACACTCACCGCCAGTCTCCCACTTCCTGACCTAATTTCTGGCAGAATCTAGTACAATGCACAGTGTATAAGTGCTCAGACATTTGTTGAATGGATGACTGGATTAATAAGTTACAGATTGCATCCTGTTAGCGATGCGTGTCGCTACTAATGCTGATTATTTCTAGGTATTATTTTGCCTCAGTCGTTTTCTTTAAATGGACACAGTCACAGAGAACATGGCTGTTCTCTCCAGTGGTGTCTCTGGTCACAGCGTGCTATTCCCATTACAGAGTAATAGAAAAGTAAAAGATGTGAACAGAATCTTTAAAGCAATGGAAAATATATATTACCGATTTTTAAAACTATCCATTAATGTGAATTTTTCATATTATAGCTATAAATGCTTCTATGTTATAATATCTCTCTTAGTTGGGAAAAAGCACTTGTGCTTTCATAAGGAAGTTCTAATTAAAATGAGATCGAACTTTGTTCTGGAAAGGTTAAAGTAATTGGAAAGCCTTATTGCATTTTGTTAAAGACTCATTATTTTATTGATTTGCCACAGAAACTAGGATATAAGAAACCAGAGTATTAGAATAGACTCAGATTTCTTTCCGAAGCGGTTTTAAATTTAACTCTATAAATAAAGTAGTTTACATCCTGTTTTATACCCAAGGCCTGAGGAAGTAAGCCTTTTACTACTAAAAATAAGAAAGTTTCAAAATTATTTTTAGCCATACTACATTTAAATCTTAACTGGAACCCAGGGAACTGTTTCCTTTATTACCAGATAGAGCAGTCACATCTTCCCTTCCAGAAAGAGTCAAATGAAAGCAAAAATATGTTACTCTCAAGGATTTGGTCAACAGAGAAATATTAAGAAAATTTCTATTGAAATCGATACAAACATCCTTCTTCCCTACAAGCAGAATCTGTCAACCTGCCCAGATGTATGGCTCACAGACATTTGCCAGTTTTGTCATTTAAAGTTGAGAGTGAGAGAGGAGACAGTGATGCCATTAACATAAAAATCTTTCATTCTGAATTAAAAATAAATCTAAACAAAGATTATTTATTGGGTAAATCTTAACTTAGAAAATTTAAATCACTGTATTACTGCTTTCTCTGAATATTTTTGCTAATCAAATTTTAAAGTAGATTTATCAGATATTGCCTCCAAATATTGTGCTTTTATGATCTATTTTAATGTTAAACAAATCAAATATACTTAAAAAGTTTTAATAGTAGGAACAGTTTCTTAAAAAAAAAATTGAAAATTATTTTATCATCATACCTGTTAAGTTTGCTTTAGTTTTCAGGGGTTGATGAATTTGCAAATCCTGTAAATTGAATCAGATATTCCTAAATTCTTTAACTGAGTCTCTTAAAAATCCACAGTAACTGTGTATCCAGACAGGGCTGTCCTTGAATTACTGTAGCAATTTAAGCAAATATAATCTGCTTGGAAAACACTTGGGTTGAATTAAGATTATGTATTTCTTTTCATTATCCAAAACTTTGTGGATTCAAATTGAGATGCTTGTGCTGTTGGTCAGATTTATGTGGCTTACTTCCCTTTCTTTTCCCCTTAATTTTGGTTTGAGGTGTGGCAAGAATTTCCTCTAATATGAAAGGCAAACAGAACTAAATGAAACAGCATGTACTGATTACTGTTTTTATTTTCATTTTCATGCCAAAGAATTCTCCAAATTAAGGTCCCCTGTAACTTGGAGCTCAGTGTCTCAACAATTTAAGGTGGAACTCAAGAGTGGTCTTGAAATGTCCCTTGTCTGAAACCTCACGTCACACCAGGGCTTTCCTTTATGAAGACAAGCAACCAAGATTAGAAACATACAGCATTGCATGTCTAGTTTTTTTTTTTTTTTTTTAAGATTTTATTTATTTGAGAGAGAGCACAAGCAGTGGGAGAGGGAGAAGCAGGCTTCACTCTGAACAAGGAAGCAAGGAGCCCTACAACCTCGATCCCAGGAACCCGAAATCATGACCTGAGCCAATCCAAAGTCTGTTCCTTACCGACTGAGCCACCCTGGCACCCCTCTAGTTTACTTTTTAAACAAAGGGATTTGTCATTAGTGACACAGATTAAATATATAACTTTTCCACATAGAGAATTATACCTTCTTTTCTGTTCCCTATCACTGTCCTCCTCTTCCTCCCAAATCTGTGCACTAGAACGCCTGCTACAAACCTTTGAAATAAAAATTAATCTGGTGGGGCTCCTGGGTGACTCAGTGGGTTAAGGCCTCTGCCTTTGGCTCGGGTCATGATCCCAGGGTCCTGGGATCGAGCCCCGCATTGGGCTCGCCGCTCCGCGGGGAGCCTGCTTCCCCCTCTTTCTCTCTGCCTGCCTCTCTGCCTACTTATGATTTCTGTCAAATAAATAAAATCTTTAAAAAAAAATTAATCTGGTGATGGAATTTAGTGTCTTGCACTCAGAAGGTAGATCTCTGATTTGCCTCTTTAGTACAAAAAATAATTTTGTAGTATTAACTAAGATGCCATTAGGAACTTCTGTTGCCTTTATTTTGTAGATGTAAAAAATCTCTTTTCACTGAATTGTTTTCCTGAGGAGTAGTGGTTAACTGCTTAAATGCTACATTTTTTCACTAGTGTGGGGTTTTTTTTTATTTTAAACAGAGAATTAACTTGTATTTCTTGGCAGTGAACCTTGAGTTCATGCTTTGGAAGACTCTTCAAAGTTTGTACAAACTAATAAGGTAAAGTGAATCCCAGAATTTGTCCTTGTGTCCTCAGTGTTTACCATTAGATTTTTACAAAGAAATCACAGGGTTTATTTTGTTATACTTCAGGTTTTTTAAAAGCATGCTGTGTTTGAAGTGATGCTTGGCAGTGCTGTAAAAATCTCGTCTATTATTTGAGGCGCTGGTATGTGAAACATGGCAGACTGTATTTGGGCCAGGATTTCATCTTGTTACTGATTTTTTCCATATGTTTCCTATTAGTCTTTGTTCTTAAACCTCAGGCTTCCATACTAAGGAAGAGAGAGCAAATCTGTGTAATTTTTTCCCAAGGATTTAATTTTATGTGCCCTCACAGTTCTTTTGGAAGAGAAACTTCAAGTCAAAAGCTTAATTTTCATATAATCCTCATTTAACACTGTGATTTGAACTTGTGATCATGATTATGTTGTTCATGTTCCTAACACATGTGGAAAGAATATTTATTAATAGATAGCTAGGGCACCTAGAATCACTCATGTCTAGGAAATTTAAAAGCGGTAGATGGTGTCCAGGAGGTTTAGGTTGGGAGGCAGGGGGCGTAAGAAGAGTGTTCGTTCACGTCAGACCTGATAGGAAAAGTAAAAGCTGTAAGTGATTGCGATCGTTCATGCTTTCGGTTTGATGGGTACAATTGCAGCAATTGAAGAGAGAAGTCCATTGAATTGATGAAAAGTCTCAATTATATTCTATGATGATAATTTGATTGAGGTAGATAAGTACCTTCATAGCTGAATAGTGCTAGTCGAGAAAGGCCAGACTGAGATCTGCTTGATTGTGGTAATCAGGGATTTTTTTCATTATACTCATTCAGCTAATATTTTTAGCACCTGATTTGTTTAAGGCAGTTTTAGGTGCTTGTGACTCAGCAGCACAAGTTTCTATTGTCACGGAACAGGAAAACAGAAAATAAACATATGAGGGGGTGCGGAGGGCAGTGGAGCAAGGTAGGGGGATCAAAGTGAATGAGCACAGGCACAAGTCAGCAGCTGTCACCCTCCTGCACACCTGCACTGGGACAGAGCGGTTATGTGTCTGCGTGGCGGGTGGTGGAGCCAGGGGTCTCACTGCTGGAGGGAGGCTTCGGACGAGCAAGGGGAAGCAGCCGGAATGACACACGCAGTTGGGCTAGAGCTGGAGACAGCGGTATGAATCCATGTTCAGCTTAATAGTACACAGGTGGCTCCATCTAGAAATGTCTGTAGATGCGTGTATGCACTGGCTGGTGTACCCACACCAGTCGCCTGGCTCTGTCGGCCGGGAGGGAGTGGAGGCAGTGACTCTGCAGCCGCAGCAAACACCCAGCACCCAGATCTTGGCAGCAGTGGCATCTGCTGCTGCTGCTTTTTTAAGATTTTATATATTTATTTATTGAGAGAGAGGGTGTGTGTGCCGGGGCAGGGGCAGACAGAAGGAAAGAATCTCAGGCGGACTCAGAGCTGAGCACAGAGCCCTTCACAGGTCTCACTCAGTCCAACAACTGTGAGCATGACCTGAGCCCAAATCAAGAGACGCTTAACTGACAGAGCCACCCAGGCATCCCCAGATCTTGGCTTCTGTTAACCTTCTGCCATAAGGGAAACCAAGCTCTTTGAAGAAATGGTTTATTCTAGGACTGAGGCATGGAGCATACAAGATGAGCCTGGGGTACCTTCCAGCACCAGAAAGTAAGGAGTTGCTAAGGAAGAAAGGGACATGGGAAATCAATGTATCTTCTCAGTTTTGCTGTGAACCTAAAAACTCTAAAAGATATTCTATTTAATAAATTTTTAAGAAAGGAAATTACTATTTTAGATAGTTTAGCAGAGACCTGATACAGTGAGGGACCAAGCCACATTGGTATCAAGAGGAAAAAGACAATATGGCTGGAGCTGAGTGATGTGGGTGGGGAAGGTACCTCAGAGAGGTGGCCAGGGCCAGCGTCACGGTCACATGTGCTCCTGACGTGCTCGGAAGCCTCGAAGCATTCTATATCAAATCACGTTTAGGAGGCACACTTGACCCTTAGCTGATGAACTGCTTCCATCAGAAAGACCATTCAGGCAGCCCCACAGAAGTTGTCCAAACTCTAGACATCACACATGCCCCGCAGAGGCCATCCTTGTGCCTTTGCCGCTCGCACCTTCCATTGCCCAGTTTTGTTCGCTTTTCCCGTAAATGGTGTCCCCATCCCAACTTCACTCACTGACGTAAGCCAGAAGGTTGGGAGTTGTCTAAGTGGGTGCATCCCAAAATGTGACAGGAGAGCCATCAGTGTGTGAATTGCCAGGGCTACTAATTTGAAGTTCAGGTGGTGGCATCCCTGTACGTCAGACCCGCAGAACCAGAAGCTCTGCGCACAAGCCTGGCGACTTACATTTTTAAGAGGTGTCCCAGGTGCTGTGGAAACTTGAGAACCACTGATTGAAATCACCTTCTGTCCGACACTTTCAAACTAGATCTGTTCCTGAGTCCTTTGTGATCTAGCACTGGAGTGTCTTTTTGGTGTGTCTGTGTCTCTTGGCCTACCCTGTCACCATCTCTCCTGTGACTGACATCTCTCCCTCAGATGCTGCAGCGGTGTCTTGACTCCTCTGTGTTCACACATCTCCTTTCCCAATCCAGTTTTCATCCTATCTATATTAAAATAAACCCAATTGTATAGTGTCTCACAGTGCCTCTGCCTAAAATCCTCCAGTGTTGCCTCATATTTTCAAATAAATGCCAAACAGGGGCCCCTAGGTGTCTCGGTCGGTTAGGTGTTCAACTCTTGGTTTCCAGATCGTGATCAGGTCATAATCTCAGGTCCTGGGATTAAGCATTGTGTGGGGCCCTGCACTCAGTGGGGAGTTGGCCTGAGGATTCTCTCTCTCTCTCTCCTTTTTCCTCTGCCCCCTCCCGTCCACGCTCTCTCCCTAAAACAAATAAATAAATCTTAAAAAAATATATAAATTCCAAACATAGGGGCATCTGCCTGGCTCAGTCAGTAGAGCATGTGATCCTTGGTCTCTGGATCATGATTTCAAGCCCCGTGTTGAACACAGATCTTAAAAAATAGATAAATGAATAAATGTAGCACTTAATTAGTTCAGAGAAATAAAAATAAATTCCTTTGGGGAAACTCTGATGGCCTACTTCTTGCTGTTCGTGGACCACCGATTTGTGTTTCTGGGCTGCTTTCTGGCCTCGAGCTGTCCTGCCCCTTCCTGTTCCTTCAGACACCAGCTGAAAGTCCTACAGTTCAACTCAATTCTGACACTGTCTACCCAGAGTTAGCATCACTTCTCACAGGTCAAGGGCTCGGTCCCACAAGACTGCCCCCACTTTGGATGCCAGTCGAAGTAGGAGGTCTCCAGCTTACCCACCACCTCTGTACAACATGGCTGTAGGCTCCTGCTGTCTTGTCTTCAGGTTGGTGAATTTTCTATAATGGCTCACAGAACTCAAACGCTTATGTTTATTGGTTTATTATTTAATAAAGCTCATGACAAAGGAAATGAGTATAAAGCCAGGTGAAGGAATGCCTGCTGTGAGGTCTGGAGGGGCCCTGAGCCCAGGAGCTTCTGTCCCCTTGGAACTGTGGCGCATTCGGGTCCCAGTCATGCATGTGCCCACCAAGCTGGGATCTCTCTGCGGCCTGTACCTTAGGGACTTTTGTTCAGGCTTCCTCACGCAGGCGTGATGGATGATGAACCCAATCTCTAACCCCTCTCCCTCCTCAGAAGATGGGGGCGTGGGGCTGAAAGTTCCAAGCTTCTGACCATAGCAGGTCTTTCTCATGACCAGCCCTCATCTACAAACCATCAGGGAGCCCGCCCAGAGTCACCTCCTTAGAACAAAAG